GAGCAACCCAGGCACCCTTCTGACATGGTTCTAATACAAGTTTTGCAGTGAATGAAGTAGTTTATGCTTATTTTCTTCTTACTTTGCAGCTCTGTTATTCTCAGTCTATTAAAATAATTTCTATTTTTTCTTTAAATACATGCTTCTTGAACATTTCCAGTTTGTAGAATATTTAAGAATATTTTCATTGGTAATTTATGACTATATACAATTGTATAAATAGAGAATTAGGTTTTAAGAAAAAATAAAATAAAATATATCAGTGAGTATTAAACTTATTTGCCTATAATTAAAGTAAGGCTAATATCAATATCATACAAACTTATGATGGCAAATCCGAATTAAGATTTTGACAATACCAGGGGCGCCTGGGTGGCTCAGTGGGTTAAAGCCTCTGCCTTCGGCTCAGGTCATGATCTCAGGGTCCTGGGATCGAGCCCCACATCGGGTTCTCTGCTCAGTCGGGAGCCTGCTTCCTCCTCTCTCTGCCTGCCTCTTTGCTTACTTATGATCTCTCTCTGTCAAATAAATAAATAAATAAAATCTTAAAAAAAAAAAAAAGATTTTGACAATACCAAGCTGTTCTACTCACCTACTCTCACAAAAAGCAATGCATTTATAATCTTCTCTATCTCTCTAAATATCTGAGAAATCATCCTACTTCACCACTCATCTGACTTTCCTTCTAATAGATAAAGAAAATAATCCTCACAGACTAAATTTTTAAATTTAATCATATCAAACTTATAATCGTTTACATCTATGACCCCACTTTTCTGTGTCTACATGTTACATAGCAGGAACTGGTTTTTCTCCTATCTAAATGTTTCCACTTATGTTCTGTGTTACATTCAATAACCTTATGAAATCCATCATATCATCTCTCCCTTTTATCACAATCCTCTCCATTTCTATTATGTATCTCCCACCATTTATATATTCTCAATTCTCATTGATTTAAATAATATATAATTAAATATGAAATACAGAGATGAACAAAAAACAAACATGATACTTGAGTGGATTTCACTTAATCTCCAGACACATACCGCACCAGGGCTTTCTTTCCTATTTATTTTTCTCCCATTACATTTTTATTAGGTCATACATTTCTCAATTTCCCTCTTTTTCCTTGAGTAACTTCAGTTTTACTTCCAAACATATAACACCACAAAAATGCTTTTTCTTTGAAGTCAATGATTCCATCTGTGCCTTTTTTTTTTTTTAAGAAAGGAAGAGGAGAGAGAGAGAGAGAAAGAGCTAGTGGGGGTAGGGGAGGAGGTTCAGAGGGAGAGGGAGAAAAAGAATCTTAAGCAGGCTCCACACACAGTGCAGAGCCCAAGGCGGGACTGTAGCTCAGGACCCTGAGATCATGACCTGAGCTGGAATCAAGAGTCAAACACTTAACTGACTGATCACCCAGGCACCCCATACCACTTTTTCTAATGGACATTGCCTTGGATATAATCATCTTTGATCTGTCAGAAGAATTCTGTGCTATTGAAAACCTCCCCCTACATGATATATTTCCTGAGTTTTTATGATTCTATATGCTATTTTATTTTTTTCTCCTGTAGTCTGTCTTTCTATTCTCTTCTGTTGGCTAATTCACTTAATATTTTTCTTATATTATTTCCAATACTTAGTTCTAGATCATTCAACTCTACTATGTGTTCTCCAGATGCAATACTGATGATTTATACACATGGTGGTGATTTCTAAATTTATATGTCTTGCCGAAATAGCTCTCATGAGTTCCAGACATTTTAACCATCTGCCTACTTTGCATCCTCAGAGTGATATTTAAAGTAAAATCAAAGTCAGCATGTTCAAACATCAAACCCATGAAAAATTCAGACTCTTTACTCTTAAAAGAGGGGGTAGACAAGGATTACTTTAAGTGTCTGAGCACTTGGAGGAGGAAGAGATGAGGAAGATGAAGAAGATGAGAAAGATGGACAAAGAAGTAAGGGAAGATCAGAAGTTCAGTTTTGGATGTGATAAGTAAGCTGTTATTAGATATCCAATTAGAAATGTCAAAAATAAAGTCAAGTCCATGAGGCTAAAGTTCAATGGTGAAAATTGGCTAGAGATATAAATTTGAGAGTCTTTAGGAAAAGGATGGTATTTAAGGCCAGAAGACTAGATAAATCACCAAAGCAGTGAAGTGTATATGGAAGAAAGGTAAGGGCTCAATGTATAGGAAACCTGGCTTTAGAAGTTCAGGGGAGGAGGCATCAGTAAAGCAGATAGGAAAGGGGTGGCCAGACAACAAGAGAAAAATTCACAGCGTGAGGCAGTATTAAAAATCAAGTAATGAAGTATAAAGGTGTTTTTTTCTTTTTTGCGTATCTTTCTCATTTTACAGGCAACTTCATCCTTATAGTGACTCAGATCCTTGAAATCACCCTCATCTATCCTGCATCTCATATCCCAAATTTATTCTATTGACAGTTCTAACTGATATTCCAACTGCACTGCTACCACACTGTTCTATGCCATTCTTGCTTCCCACCTGGATTGCTGCAATGCCCTTTCCACTGGTCCCTCTAATTTTGTCCTTGCCCTGTTAAACCCATTTTTAATACCCAGAATAATTCTTCCTAAATGCAGTTCAGATAATATTATTCCTCTGAGAAGAAACTTTCAATGTTTTCTCAGCTGTCTCAGTGTAAGAACTAAAGACCCAACAAATGCCCCAGGTGCTAATCTATCTGACCCTTATTGGCTCCCTCATTGCATTTCCTATTAAACTCCCTTACTCAGTCTAGTCTAATCACACTGGCCTCCTTGGTAGTTTTGACAATGCCAAAAAGTTTTGTACCTCGGGAAGTGTGCCATTTTTTTTTTTTTTAATCTCCTAGCATATATTTTCCCCAGATAAATCCTCAGAATAGCCTCTCATCTCATTCAAAATTTTATTCAAAAGTCAGTTTTATCAGTAGATTACATTTGGGCACTTTCCATAATTTGACTATTCTTGATAATGCTGCTATAAGAAGTAGGGTGCGGTACCCCTTTGAATTTGTATTTTTGTACACTTTGGGCAAATACCAAGTAGTGCAATGCTGGGTCATAGGGTAGTTCTATTTTTAACTTTTGAAGACCCTCCATACTGTTTTCCAGAGTCGCTCTTGCCATTTCCAATGACATGGCTGGAGCTAGATTGTATTATGCTCAATGAAATAAGTCAGTCAGAGAAAGACCGATACCACATGATTTCACTCATGTAGGACTTTAAGAAATAGAAATAATAGATGAAATAGGGGAAAGAAAAAAAGACAGGGAGGCAATCCATAAAAGACTCTCATCTATAGAGAACAAACTGAAGATTGCTGGAGGGGAGGTGGGCTGGGGAATAAGCTAAATGGGTGAAGGATATTAAGGAAGGCACTTGTGATGAGCACTGGGTGTTATATGTAAGTGATGAACCACTAAATTCAACTCCTGAACCTAATTAATACAGTATATATTAACTAACTAAAATTTGAATAAAAACTTAAAACATAAAAAAGTCATTTTGTCATGTAGAACCATGTAAAATTGCAGTCACTTACTCTAAAACTACCTTCTATGTTAGATCTTTTTTCTAAATAGAATTTTTTAACATTTATGCACTATGTTACTTTAAGGACACTTTTTTGGTTTTGTTTTGTTTTATTTATTTATTTTTTGGTTTTATTTCATTTCACTTTTGTGTTGTTCATCCTTTGTAGCCTGATCACCTGGAGAAGTGTCTGGCACATAAAAAGCAATCTATACATATTTACTCGAAGACTAAATGACTAAATGAGTGAATGAATGAATGATGAAAGAATAGGAAAGAGGACAGAGAGACATTTTTTTTTTCTTTAGTAAATATCTCTTTGGAAAGCTTAAGTTTGCTTATCCTATATCATGAATGGATAATTTATTTTTAAATCAAGTAATTTATATTTAAATTTTAGTTTTAATGAACAACAGTTACTCTAAATTAAAAATAAATCAGGACTGGAAAAAATAAATTAATTAACAAAGGACAGTACAGGAGCCAAAACAAAAGCTGGATAGATTAGGACAAGTGAAGTAGCACACAAAGTATTAGAGTTTAATAGAATCATACATTGGATAAGTGTGTTCCATAAATATACATTTGTCAATATGCATTTTTGTTCTCAAATCTGACTCTGAGATTTATGCTTGCAGCAAAATAAATTCTTTGTATTTTTCACTATTTTCATAAATTGTATCAATATTTATTGGCATTTATACAATTCTGAAGTTCTATTTATATATATCTGTCATTTTTTATTAGAAATGCGTTTCATAATTATTTTTAGTGTGAGGCCCTGAAACATACACAGAGCAAACTGTGCTTGAATATTAATTGAGAAGGTATAGAGAGCACAATTTCTACTTAAAAACTTGAAAGCAAGCTAATTCTTTTGGGGTTGCCTGGTAGCTAATAAGGAGTATGTCAAATTGAAAGACAGGTCTGACTGAAGCAGCCTTTGAATAAATAATAGAATTGTTGTCAACTTTAGCCTTCAAGTAGTGAGGAGGGGCCAATTCTTAAAGTGAAGGAAGGCAGTTGAAATGTCTTTTGTGGTCTTTTAGTGAATTGTCCACTCTTTGCCCTTAAACATTTTTCCTCACCAACAATTTCAACACAGAGATGTTGAAAGTAAATTCTGAAGACATCACTCAATATCTGTTGAAATTAAATGAAATGGCTTAAGGCATTTGAGAGGCATGATTATTTACTATTCATTACCATTTATTTTGAATCCATATTAATATAATGTATTTGTTTCTTAAAGAAGTATGTGTACAGTAAGAATGATTACTACTCTGATAAAAGATTGAACATAAGTGTTTTTTTAAGTTGAGATTTGTGTTACAGTGACTCCAGGGTATATGTAGAACAAAATATCTTGACAAGTCTTTAGTTACCATGATCTGTTATATCAGGCTGTTGATCACATACTCAGAGATTTTGACCTATTTCTTTTTAATTCCAGCAGGAAAAGAGTCAAGACAGTTCAAGAATCAAAGGTAAGCAATGACTGTTTTAAGATCATAGTTTCATAAATTCATATAAGGATAGAAGAAGAAAAAAATTGATTTAGCTTTGAAAATATAGCTAAAAATGAGAAAACATTAAGAACTCAAAATCTTCAATTTGGTATTAAAGCCATTGTGAGCCTTTTGGGAATTCTGCAAGGTCGCTGGGGGTCCTCCACTGAGATTTCCTTTCTTCATATAGTGCTATTGGAAATTTCAACATAATTTTTTCTTAACTCTCTGAGTTGTTCTCGTGGAATTCCTCCATCAGTATTGTCCATAAGAGTTAATATTCTGTTTTATCTAGGATTTAGCAGATGAACTTTAAAAAATATGTCTCATGGGAAACCAAGTATTTAGTTACTGCTATGTCATTATATTTTCTATGAAAAAGCAAGACAATAAATGTTAAAATTTGATGGTAGCTAAATGGCATAGTCAAGTCTAGTCAGACATAGGGAAACAGTTTTCCCCACAATGACATTATTATGTTTTGATGTTTATTGTTGCAATAATAAATTGCTCTAGATAGATTATATCCTATAGCAAAATACTTCATTAATTTGTGTGCCCGCTGATTATATAGTGAAATTTAACAATTTTTTCCTTGGTTAATCCTTCTGGGCTCTCCCTTCATGGACTGGCCCTTCTTATTGTACAAGTTGGATATCCTCACCCATCTATCCCTTTCTGGTAGTATTTAGTCACAGGCCTGACTATGGAATGAAGGATGATTTCCCTATTTCATTGCATCCTGTTTTGCAGAAAGTTAGGTTTATTTTTACTTTCTTTTTTTTAGAGTTCTACAAAACCAAAACAAACCAAAATAATAATAAAAAGTTACCAAATTTACACATACTTCTGAAAAGATGAAAGACAGTTATTCTTTTGAGGGTCTCTAAATTGACAATATCAGTCTTGCTTATTAATAACAAATCTGAACATAATCTCTGCACATTTCCCTGCAACTAACTGAATTACACAATTTGTTTTCCATGTTCAGTCATCTGTGTGTGCCTGTATCACTGAAGAATGTAAAAAGACATACTTTTTTATTTTGTTAGGTATATTTTATTCAAATGAATTATGTAAAACTGCCCTTCCAGGGATTCCCAAACTGTATGTTCTTTTTCAGCGAACTGAAGTATGTCTTGTTATTTTATATGTGAAATTATTACACTTATTTATCCTCAAAGCACTCATATTAACTCAAAGTTTCATACCTTTGTGTTGCAAAAGGGAATTTCTATTCCAAGATGGGCTGTATGGTGTACATTTAAATGATATATACATTTTAAGCATACTGAGTACACATCTTCCTTCTCAAGAAGGGTCCCAATATTTCAGGTTAATCTTAAATCATATTTATAATTCTGTTACAGTTGAAATAAGTTTAGTATAGCATTCTTCTTGATGCTATATTGTCTTGAGACATATAAATCCTATCATCTGAAGTAAAAGAAATTATGTTTTTTCAACTACTGCCTAGAAACATGTTTTCTTTTATAATGTAATAAAATTTCAAGATGATTCTTGTCACTTCTTTTAAGTGGCTGACACATGTTTTAGAACTCTCACATTATGGCTTCTAGGCTACTGAGTTCTAAGTAAATCAGAGACATACTGTTTTGTCAGGACCTGTTCCCTAACTCTACTTAAATTCAGTATTTTTCTTAACTTTTTATAAAAATCATCTTGAAATGTTGTTTTACTGAAAATTATAAATGATTACTAAAAATGTCTTTAGGGACACCTGGGTGGCCCAGTCGGTTAAGTGTCTGCCTTCAGCTCAGGTCATGATCTCGGGTCCTGGGATAGAGCACCATATCAGGCTCCTTGTTCAGTGGGGGGTCTGCTTCTCTCTCTCCTTTACCTCCTGCTTATGCTCTTGCTCTCACCCACATAAATCATTAAATAAAATCTTTAAAAAGTCTTTAAATGTCAATATTTAAAAAAAAAGAATAAAAGCAAGAGCTTATCCATTCATAGATGAGAAAAATTCTGAAAATGAAGTATTGTACATATTTTGGTAACTAATGATTGAAATGTGAGTTATGTCCTCACTTGACATTAATAATGAATTCTCAAGTAATAATTCCCAAGACTTCCTGATCAGAACATGTTTATTACATAGTTAGCAATGTATGCAAAGGAAATCTTTAACCATCTAATTTTCTGCATTCTGTGCCTATTTCTGCTTATGACAACAATCCCACCTACATTGTACCAGTGACCTGAAATCACATTAATGCACAAAGTAGTCCAATGAAAACTGACCCGTCTTTCCTCGGTGTACATGGAAATATACGTTGAAATGTTTGGAATTATATATATGTATATATATACACACACACATGGAATTCAACTAACAAAATAAATTTTGGTTCAATAGTTAGTAAACCATCGAATTCTCAATTGATTTTCATGTTTAGATTGCCTATTGTTAAATGAGTTAGAGCTTAACCTGTAATTAGCACACAATTTTGAGGTTTACAGTTGTTAGGATGTCCTTTATTAAAATTACATTGACAATTAGTAGGAAAATAAAGATAGTCCTAACAAGTTTAGAAGAATGACCAACTATTCAGAAAGCTCTATTTCACATTGCTTTTCAGTGATATTACAAATATATTATGTTTTAAAATCCATTAACAATTTGATAAATACTATTAGGAAATAATTTCCTTTGAAGAATTGTTCTAATATAAGGAGCACAAGTCAGTTATCTCTACAAATATTTCTCAGGGGAGTATTTTAATTTGTGATTTGTTTATTCATTTATATTTAAGATCATCTCTCTATAGTTCTCAGTGATAAAACAGTAACAGTTCTTGACAAAAATTGAAATGATTCTTATTTTACAAAAAGCTTAAAAATTCTGTCAGCTTAGTCAAGTTTTTAAATTTCCAAAAATAATTCAAAATACTTACTATAGTCAGAAGGATAATATCACTGTGGAAAGTTTGCATATGATTATGCTGTAGTGTGCTCCTGAGTATCTGCTTACCTCTCACTCTGTCATTAAAAGTATGTTTGTTCCTTCACCAAAAAGATTCAGTTCTTTTATAACGAAAATTTCCCTTCCTCTCTTTTCAAGGGAGACTCTTGGCTCTTCTCATTCAGAAGTGATAATAAAATATATTCTCCTTATATTGCTAGTTACATGTTAGGAGACAAAAGTTGGTTCCCTAATAGTCACTTATATGGTATATTATTGAAAATTTTTTTTTCCATAGCACATGCTATTGACATCTATCTTTTGTTAAGTATCTACTAGATGTCAGACACTGGGCTGAGCTTTTTACATATATTACCTCATTGTAATCCTCAAACACACATTATAAGGTAAGATTTAGCATTCAAACATGCCAGCACATTGAGAAATCACATCAAAAGTAAATAATTCAGACCAATATTATCATTTTGTCCTATTTTTAAATGGGTCATGTTTTATTTAACCATTTTACAAATTATATATCAGGTACATTTAGCATGTTGTTATTAGGAATGTTTTTGACATTTTCATGAATTTGATATATATGAATTTTATTATTTATACACTATTTTTCTTTGATGGTATGGTGTTACAAATATTTCCCCTACTGCCAATTTGTATAAATACTGCTCAGGGCTTTGTAACATTAAGAAAATTTTGATAATAATAAATGTGGTATAGTAATGTTCTAGGGGCCAGGTGTGAGAATTGTGTCAGCTTGTGCAATAAATGCTTGTGATCTTTGACAAATGACTTAATCCTCCAGAAGTAATTTCTCTTTTATATAATTTCTCTCTCTTTTATAGTTTATATTAACAAAACATACCCTATGATATCAAATGTCCTTTCACATATATAAAATTCTAATGCTTATACTTCCATAAAGACACTGGACAATGCTATTATTACAAACATCTTTCAAAATTCTTAATTCTAAATATGTTCTACATGGCAAATATTATGTATTATACATTTGTATATAAGGAAAAGGTAAGCTGCACAATTGTTCTCCCTATGGTACATACATACATTCTTGTATATAGTGAACAAGGAAGAACACTATTATGCTAAGATCATATCTAATCAAATTAAAGATGTGTGTTTGGGACAATAAATGATATTAAAATTCTATGGAGCCTGTAGTTTTTACATGTAAACACACACACACACACACACACACACACACACACACATATACATGCTATTTACTTTTATACAACCATGCATTCAGATTCTCTTTTATTTCCAAAATTGTCAATTGAGGGCACTGAAAGTGATCTGATACATGCAGGGATATATAGATATAGATATAGAGATAGAGAAATAATATAAGTGTGTATGTGTGTGTGTGTGTATGTATGGGTATGTATGTGTGTGTATCCATGTTATATATATATTATACATGTATTTTATTATGTATTATATCTAATGTATATTGTATTAATTTATATTATATTATATTATTTCTATATATCTGTGCCATATATATATACATAGGTATATATTTCTATATAACATAAAATAAAAATATATATGTATATATGTTTGTGTGTATATATGTATGTATGTGTGTATGCATGTATATGTATGTATGTGTGTGTGTGTGTGTGTGTGTGTGTGTGTATACATATATATATAAAATTGAAATGCTAATAAACTCCTAACCTGGGTTTCCTGACTATTCAGAGCTCTTTTCACTAGAATAATCTTACAGAGCTCCTGACATACATTGACATTAACTCACTTCTTCCAGGTTAGGTAACTAGTCAAGAACAGTTATTAGGTAGGAATAGACCTTCAAATTTGTATTCCTGAAAGTTACTGGACACATTCATTAACAAATGAACTATATAAAACTGAAAGATGATAATTCTTATATCTGAGACTTTTATGGGACTCCTTCTAAGTGTTAGATATCTTTCTGTTTAGGAAATAAGATATAGCCAGTACAATACTAATGCTTGAAATGGAAACTGTTACCACTATAGAAATTCAG